GGTTTGGAAGTGCATGGGGGAGATTGACATTGAGTAGTTGACCAATCTATTCAACAAGGTGTTGAGAATAAAGAAAATGGTAGACAAATGGATGAAAAGAATTGTGGGTACCTATTTATAAGAACAAAGGAGACATATAGAATTGTGTGGACTATCGAGGGATCAAACTTATGAGCCACATTATGAAGCTCTGGGAGAGAGTGATTGAGCAACGACTAAGGAATGAAACGTGTGTATTAGAAAAACAATCGAGGCTATGTTCCTACTTAAGCGACTGATTGAGAAGTTTAGGACGAAGGGAAAGGCTTCTAGATGGTCTTTATTGATCTAGAGAAAGTTTATAATAGAGTACCTTGATATTTGATTTGGTGGGTGTTGGAAAAGAAATGAGTCTTCAGTCACTACATCGACTTGGTGAGAGATATGTATGATGGGGCACAAACTATTGTACGAACAACTAGTGGAGAGACGAGTGAGTTTTCAGTGATAAGAGGTTTACATCAGGGGTAAACATTGAGCCCATAGCTTTGTCTTAGTTATGGACGACTTAACTAGGCACCTACAAGATGAGGTACCGTGGTGCATGTTGTTTGCATATGACATAGTTTTGTTTTGTTCGATGAGACTTGAAATGACATCAACACAAAGTCGGAACTTTGGAGGGATGCTCTAGAATCTAAAATTTTTAAACCGGATTAAGGTAGAGTATATGGAATGCAAGTTTAATAATAATAGAAGTAGAGACGAGGAAGTAGTTAAGATTGACAGATAGGAAATACCAAAAAGATGCACTTTTGATATCTTGGGTCGATAATTCAGGAAAATGGAGAGATTGAGGAAAATGTCGCATATAGAATTAGAGTTGGGTGGACGAAGTGGAGATGTGCAGCCAGAATTTTATGTAATCGCCATATACCAATGAAGTTGAATGGCAAGTTCTATAGTACAACTGTAAGACCAGCTTTGCTTTATGGGGCAGAATGTTGGGCGAACAAAAAAAAATATACCCATAGAATGAATGTAGTGGAGATGAGAATATTGAGATGGATGAGTGGCAAGATAAGAAGGGATAAAATTCAAAATGAATACATTCGAAAAAATTTAGGTATGGCATCAATAGGCGATAAGATGAGAGATAGTAGACTTAGATGGGCTAGCCATATGTACCATAGACTCAATACAACATCTGTTAGGATGTGTGAGTTAGTTCAAGTGGTAGGCTCAAAAAGTACAAGGGGTAGGCCTACAAAGACATGGTTGGAAGTAGTGAGAACAGATATTGAAACTTACGGCCTCATTGAGGTATGACCCTTAACAACATAGAATGGCGGATCATGATTCATATAGCTCCCCTAATTAGTTGGGAAATGGCGATGATGATTGCAGTCAGCAGAATCAGAATTAGGGTATGCATTGGATTTTTGGTAGAGATATTCCAGTTTGCAGTTCGCATACACATACATTTAGAAAATCATGGATGCCAGTGAATTCATGTTTCATAAGACTTTGTCTCATTAAACAATTAGTTGCGAGGTAAGTTTCTAAGGTTAAAATCTTAGTTCAATTGCAAGGCAACTGGTGTTGCAATGCTGAGGTACTAGTAAAAACTATCAATTGCCAATTTTGTGATGTTTGGTCATATTTTTTTTTGTGTCATATATTTTATTTTCACATCAATAATCGTTATTTAAGCATCAAAGAAATGCAATGTCCTACGCAGGTACTCCAATACGTAGACCAATAATGGGACTTGAGCTTTTCCTTATTGCCACATCGATGGCTGCATCATATCCAAGTAACTAAATTGAATTTCTACTTAATCATACGATCAGAAAGAAGCATTCAAATATTGGAGGTCGAACAAGTGAGTGGGCTTGTCCAGTGCACATTGGTCCGACCAACATTTCAACTGGTCAAACTGGTTTGAGAAAAACAAAGAGGAAATACGAAACAAATTATGAGAAACTGGTTAAAATTGGTTTAACCATCTTGGATTGGTATTTTAGGTTTTTGAATGTGATAATCAAACTAGATTTATGCTAGCTTCTGTGCTCAATAGGTTGGACAGGCTGGTCTGATCTGGTCTTTATGATATTGATGTGGACAAAGTTGACGATGTCTTTCAAAGCTTAAAACTTTTCCACATTCGAGTACGTGTTAGTTACATTTATTAACTAAAAGAGAAGTTTATATTCATGTCCCCCAAAAAACCATTATTATAAAATCCCCCCTAAACGTTTGATTTTATGGTCATACGCCTTTTCTTTTCAATTTTTTTTCCAAATTGCCCCTTCTTCTCACCCTCAAGGTCAGAAGTTCAACCAAATAGTCCAACTTTTGTTCTCAAGATTTGAGAGGCTCTTCTCATAGCATATTTTGGATCTTAAGAGTCGAAGCTGTTCCGTACCTAAACAAGGACATGGGTTGGGTAATTTGCTTTTACAAACTTGCTAAAAAAGGGAAGGGTAGGCCCAAAATGATATGGTTAGAAGTAGTGAGAAAAGATATAGGGGCCTATGCCCTCATTGAAGGTATGACCCTTAATAGAGCAGAATGATGGACTAGGATTCGTGTAGCCGACTTCAATTAGTTGGAAAAAGACTCTGATGATGACTTTTACAAACTTATGATATGAGAGATTTGGTCCAAAATTGTGGTGTCTCAAGCAACTTAATGAACATTTGTTGCATCTAATTCTTGATATGTCTTTGTTGAATGGGCATTTAACCACTTCGGACCTTCAAGGTCCGAAGTAAGTTGGAACATTGGAACATCTTCAAAATTGAGGTTTGTAACAACTTCAGACCTTGAAAGTCTGAAGTTTGAGGTTTGGAACAAGTTCAGACCTTAAGAGTCCAAAGTTGAGGTTTGGATTTGGAACAACTTAGGACCCTCAAGATCTGAAATATGTTATGAGAAGAGCCTCTTGGATCTTGAGATCCAAAATTGGACTATTTGGTTGAAATTCTGGCCTTAAAGGTTCGAAATCAAGGTCCTAAGTAGGGCAATTTGGGAAAACATAACAATAAAATAATTCAAAAAGAATGATGGATGAGTGTTAAAATCATACATTTTGGGGGGATTTTTATAGTAATGGTTTTTCGGGCGGCATGTGGGTAAGTTCCTCTAATTAAAAAAAAAAATTTGTTCTCCTAGGGGAACAAAAAAAGAAGTTTATTGGAGTTCGTTGCCTCACCTCAGTCACCCAACTGTCATCATTTGTGTGGTCTCTTCTATCTAGCGTCCACTTTGACCGAAGCGGCTGAAACCTTTGGCTTGAGGCTCCAAACTAAAGCTGAAGAATCTCATATGATATTTTGAATATCATATATATATATATATATATATATGATAATTTGCCTTTGTTACGTACATTTTTCAAAAAAAATACCTTGTTTTATTTTTTGAAAGAATATCGGAAGACTTCCCCTGAATCGGCCGAAGCACTTCTCTCCCCAGCCAAACTGAGGGTCTTAGTGAATCTTATAAACCTGCTTTTAACTGAATCTAAACAGGCCTTAATGTTTTCTGCAATTTTCCTATAAGTGAAGCTCCAGATCTCATGATATGAATATAAGTGCTGAAAATTGTTTTTCTGATTGTTATTTCAGCAATGCAGGGTTGTTATTTTTATACAACTATGTACTTATAATGATTGGGTTGCAATGAGTGCTGATTTTCACTCTTGGAAGTTGAGACGACATTAAGGTTTTTCATCGTTTACTATGTAAAGAACAAATAATATCTGGACATATCTTCCTGATAGTTTGTGTTTTGTATAAGTGTCTGTCTGCATGTATGCCTGTGTTCGGTGTGCACGCATGTGAGCGGAGTGCATGCATGCGTGCATTTGTGTGATAGGCACACACGGGTGCATGTGCGCGTTTGTATTGGCTATGTATGTGCCTGTACTGTAGGAATATACAAGTGGGGCTAATATGAATTGGGTGAAGATATTATATCATTTCTAATATGGAATATGTTTTTGGACATTATGTATGGAAGAAAAGTATAATCTGATGATGGGGATGAGAAACCTGAGTTTCTTGTGAGATTGCCAGTGCAATACATACTAGTTTGACTTGTTTGTATGATGAGATGTGTCAAGGTGCTCTAATTCCTCTTAAGGCTTGGATGTTCATTGTTCTGGTCTTTGCCATTAAGGTTGAAGCCTCTCATAACTCCATAATGTTGATTATTTCCCTGCATAAATCATTGTATGATACCTCTTTGTGGTTATCTGACTGAAGTATTAACTTGTATATTCATATCTCCGAAGGCACCTCTTCCCCATTAAATAAAGTTGTTTGCTTGTGTTTATATTGTTCTAGTCTTTGAATGTATTCATTTTGCATGCGAGACAGTTAAGAAATGCTGCCATTCATAAACACATTTTGATGTTGGGTTTGAGCTGTAAACACTTTCTGAATGTTGGGCTTAAGCTGTAAACATTGTGCTTCCAAGTTTAAACTTGTTTCTTCTTTTCTAATGAGACAATGTGAATTCTTTGGTTGTATCAACGACATGCATATCATCAGAAATTATTTGAATGGGATGATTGTTCCGAAGATGGTTGTGACATTTGGAACTTTTGATCAATTTAGGTGTTGTAGCTGGCTAGACATAACACTATGGTGATGCTTTTGGACAGAAGCATCACTTGAGAAATATGGATAATTTTGAAATTTGCAATTCCTTGGCCTTGTGTCCCCGTATAGTGGTGGGAGTTATCCGGAATTATATTATTGTATTTGCTAATTCAATGTTATAAAGCCACACATATTCTGGACTGGACAATTGTAGACATCAGAGGACATTCTTGTGACCTGATTTTTGACCCTTGGTGCTTAGTTATTCACACACAATATTTTGCAGGCTTTTATTGTTAAATATACTTAGGCAGTAGAAATGCTTTGAATGCTTCTGCTTTTATTTTTGTTTGGTCCGCAATTGTTATTCTATCATGTGAGACAATTGTCATTTTTTCTTGTGTTTATCAGGTTATTGCAGTTCCCTTCAAGGTCTGCTTTTGATACTGCAACAAGACTAGTATTTAGGAGAGGTCGTTTGTATCGGTTGGACAAGGTACAACTAATTTTTAAAGTTCTATTGTTTCTGTTGTTAATGTGTTCTACATGATCCCAAACATACCATTTAATGCTGATAGCATGATTTGACTATAGGTGGATCGTGGTCAGTGGGACATTGTGACTCCATATGATGGAAAAGTTGTAAGTTTATGTCCACTATTTGATGTCTTTGTATAGCTCATAAAGAAAATGTCTTTTCATTTGCGGAGGTGTTTCATTTTACAAAACTGGTTAAATCTTCTTACCATCAATCAGTATTTCCTTATTTTTATTTAGTAATTATATGATATTGAAGTCCAAGAGAGCATATGTTGCAATTCTGCTGCCTTTTATCAATTTATTTTGCACCAGTATAGTAGTCATACTTTTTTTTTTTTCTTCTATCAGATTTATGATGAGTTTATTATTTTGGGTTACTATCTCTTGTCCAATACATATAGGCATCTGCATTTTTTTATGTTCATCATATGGTTCTCGCTTACTGACAAGAAAAGAAATAATAGTCCTTTTCTGTATGCCTTTCCCCGAGATCGTTATCTATTTGCTTCAGTCACTATTTCTCAATGGACTGATATCTTTCACTGTATGGAATCTGTGTGCCAGCTATTGTTTCAAGGCATTCCACGTCAGGCTTTCCCAGAGGATGTGGAGCGGTTTCTTTCTGGATGCCGCTATGATGGTTCAGATTTACAACTGCTCATGAGGTCAAAAGATTCCATTCCTTTCATAATCAATGCTTTTATTTTATTTTCATGCACCTCTATCTCAATCAATCATGGTCAATAGATTCCATGACTCTCTTAATTAATCAAAGTATTTATTGATTTTCAGTAAATTTTTTATTTGCTTAAATATGGATTTCGATTTTCTTACATTGTAAAAAACTCTTGTGCAGGCCGGGGTTCCCAGATCCTATACGTTTAGCCCTTGTCCGCTTCCCAACTCAGCTGGATGCAATGAATGCACTTCGAATGAAGAACCGTGGCTTCTGTATCAACAGTCCCATTACTGCAAGGATTCTTCAGTGAACCCGATCACCTGATTTCTGTTTTCTTTATTTATATTCAAGTGATATCTTATGTACTTTTTGTAATAGTTTCTCGATTTTGATAATATCAGATAGTTTAGTACACCTGGTGTGGCTTCTGTTCTTTTCTTGGCACTTGTGTAAATGGTTAGCTTTCGTCTCAACAGATTGGTTTCATCAGACTTCCAATTATATATCTTTGTTACATAACACAATGGTATATCTGGACCAGGCATCAATGTTTAGTCCTTTATGTATCGCACAGTATGGTCCCCGAATGTACGAGCTTGTAGGTTGAGGGGATGCTGCCTTTGTATGCTCTAAAAAGAAACCTTTATGGGTAGTGAAGGAAGGCATCTTTTTTTTAATAAAGGCATCTCCAATCTTGAGGATTTGGCTTTGCATGAACCAAACACGGTTGGATGCTCCCTTTACTCACCAATTTACCTTCTTTTGAGGATTCCCTCTGTCTCTCCCACCTTCCAAGCTTATCCATCTCAAAGAGAAATCCGATTTTAAAGTTGAAAAATAAGCTTTACAATTTATGTATAAAAAGGGAAGACCACCACTTGAGGATCTTAGCTCAAGAGAAAGCCATGTTGGGAAATGCAAGGATGATGCGGAACGTGTTTCTCGCCTTCGCGCTGTTTCTTTGCTTGTCCAATGTGCACAAACAAGGTCCCTAGCACACAACTCTAAGGTCCTGTGAAAGTTAATTGATGTATGCTTTTAAGGCCATGCTTTTAACGGTGTTGTATAGTGTGATACTTTTAAGGCCATGCTTTGTGAGAGGAGACATCATCATAGCATTTCACATGATGCGTTTATCATGCAATTTTCAAGAATGCATATTAACAAATTTATGGTCACAAAGAAATTTTTTTCACAAGAAAGCATATTAACAAATTTATGGGAATTTAATTTTGAAAAGATGTAGGGAAGACGGTCCCTGCTTCTTCTTGATCTTTTATTTTTGAATATTATTGTATTGTTTATTTACCTTTTCAAAGTTTTTACCTAGTGGTCTTACTCATGATCTTTCCAGAATATTCCAGACATCAAAATTTTTGAAATTCTGTTAAGAGATTTTGAGTACCTTAAGGTGAGGATTTGAACTCAAAATCGATATGGAGGTGCCTCCGGTGATGCTAACCTGTTAAGGTTCAAGTTTATAGGTCTTGATGCCATGGGAAATCTTAAGGTGTAAATTGTAAAATTTGCTGTTTATATATATATATATATATAATGAAAGCACCAATGCGGCAAAATTCCATATTCGAAACTCTGATTGTAAATATTCAAAAGCTGGGTCCAGCTCTTGATAGCAATAAGATACGCTAACAAGAATTCTAAGAAGTCTATTGACATAAGACACGGAAACTTTTCTCGATTTATATTTGTGGCAAACTTTTATGGCTTAAAGCCTCTAAAGCTACAAACCTTGGCCTTCCTGGTGCAGACCAAATATGTAATACCTTCTGACATGCTACATAGAGCCGAAGCCACAATTTTGCTATCGTGATTTTTGGATATGTTATATGTAATGAGAGAGTATACTTTGAGATAGAAATGCCCTCAACTTATAATAGAAATGGAATTTAAGACATCATGTTGTGATCACCTACTCTTAAGTTCCTTTCTAGTATTTTCTTAAGAATTACTAATAAGTTTGTTTATGCATGTCTATATATGAATGTTTCAGGGAAATTGTAGCTATTGGGTAGAAATTGAGACAACATGTGCTCCTCAAGCCGACACCGCTAGCATTGTGGGTGTTAGATTTGGGGACAACAATGGGAACCACGTCGTGACTAGGCATCTCAAAAACCCTAAACTTGTGTATGATCCAAAGTTGGGCCAAAGGAAACAAGGGGCTGTATATAAAGGGTTTGATAGGTGTGCAATCGATATGTTTGAAGTGCAGGGGTCGTGTATGGAACGTGCGGTCTGTTATCTGTACCTTAGGCGTATGGGTCCAGATGGGTGGAGGCCTGGGTGGGTTAAGGTGCTCCACAACCATGGGCTTGGTGGGGCCGACTTATCGCCGGTTTCGGGTACCTTTTATTTTCGGACTTTCTTGCCGGAAAATGTGTGGTTTGGTTTCGATTATTGTGAGTCTAACCAACCCCATCTACCCCAAGAGGCTAAAGATGGTGATTGAAGGGAACGTCATCTATGTGTATGTATGGTTTGTTATGTAATATATGATGAACGTGAGTGGGTTGTAACAATATCTCTCCTCGTAGTGTAACATAGGTTGTTATCTTTATTAACATCTGAGGGTATACCGTTATTTATTTTTTATTTTCACATTTCAAATATTCAAATTGCCTTTGTTTGGTTTGAAATGCATACCAATGATGGTTATTTTTTGTAATTTATCCGATAAGAGGTCTATACCGAATGACAAACTTACCCTAGTTGTTTTGTATTGCAAATAAAGAACATATTGTTCAATATTACTAATGCAGAACAACTAAGGATTTTTTTATCATTCTACACTTAAATACGTTAAATGTATCAAATTGCAAATATACCCGTGATTTCTCTGCATTACATTGGACAGTGTGTTCCTTATTTGTAATATGGAACAACTAGGGGTATATCTCTCATGCAGATGAGGCCTCTTGATGTGTCAAATTATTGAAATGCCCCTCATAGTTCCTTATTCCAAATATTGATCAAGGCTAATTTGAGTACTTTTTAAATTTTTGAGGAGATATCTAGGTGAAATGAAAAAGAAAAAATATGCTCTCAAATGTTAATAAGGATAATTTGACCCATTTAATGATTTTTGAAATAATTTCTACCCCTTTAATGATATGTTCCCCTAAAAGAAGGATGTGACTATAGTGCCAAAACAATTTGAAAACAAATCTTATTGAAAAAGGATTTTTATGCTCGAGTCACAACACTTGAAAATATCTCAATGACAATATTTGTCCTCTATTGCCAAAACTTAGCGTATATATAAATTCTCCTGGTAAAGTTGTCTTCAGAACTGAATGAAATATAACATCTAGATGCTTATCTTGTTTGTTCAAATGTATGGGAAAAATAAGATCTTAAAGCATAAGTGGCGCTTTTTTTTTTTTGGACGGCCAAAATATGCAAGATAATAATATAAGAAATTTCTGTTCTTTTGATGTAGTGTAGCCGACCCAATTAATTGGGAAAAAACCAAAATGATGATGATGATGATGATGAAAGAGTGATGCAGTGTCTAGTGAGCACCACTAATTAGCACCAAGCAAGTTGTTAAATGAGAGAAAATGTAGCATGAAACTTTATTGTATTTTACATTGAAAAAGTTTATTTAGAAATAGGTTTGCACTTGAATGTTGTTGCATGAAATTTCAGGGTATTTGAAAAGTTTTCATAGAAATTAGGATTGCATTGGAATAGCTTTTTGCATGGTGATGCGTTTAGTTTTACATGGTGTCGATCTTCAGTTAATGTTGAGGGTTTCAAGATGGATTTTGGTCTTCAAATGTATGGCGACTTGATTAGGGATCTTTATAAGCATCTAGACTTCGATTTTGAATTTATAAGTCTTATATGGTGACTTATAACAATAATAAAGAATTTTGAATAAGAAATATATTTGTTGCAAGCAACTAACTCTCTGTTGCTTTTATAGTCGAGTCCTACTAGGTGTCTTATTGGCGTTCAGTGATTCAGCCACGATCTAATCAAGTAATTCCTGCGACACCTTGCGACCCAGACCTTCATCAGATTGATATCAGAGCAGACTTGATCGAGCTGAATCAAATTGTTGCACGAGACCCTTGAGACTCTACTTGCAGAAGTGTTGGTGGACTTGTCTCAAAAGATGGATCAACGATTGGAACATACGAGACCCTTGAGACTCTACTTGCAGAAGTGTTGGTGGACTTGTCTCAAAAGATGGATCAACGATTGGAACATACGCCCCATCGAGCTGCAAACCTTTAAGGTCCATAGAGTGAGTATGAGTGGCACGAGATTTTGTACCAATTACCCTACACCTTAGGGATATTTTTTAAAAACTTTGAAAGATAATCTATTATAAGCTTGAATTGCCACATGTAGACATATTTGGTGATCAATATGGCAAGTAATAAAATGGAACATGAAGAAGGGAGACTCAGAGATGGAATGACTGGAGTACTAGAGCATGCTATGACCATGGAGATGATGAGGGGTGGCTGTTCGTGTCCTTGACCTTCATTATGAGAACTTTTCTCAATTGAGATAAACCATCCATCTTCGTTTGTGTAGATTGGACCAAGGAAGTATGTGTGGGGAAACTTATTTTCAATAAGAAAAGAGTCAGGGCTTAATTGGTTAGTGCGTGACAATTTGCAACGCTATGTCTTATGCTCCATTCCTACAAAGGGTAAGAGCCCTCCCCTGACACACCCAAAAAAAATAAACCTATTTTCTATGGGCAGTAGAATTTTATATGGTAGTAGAATTTTATATTATGAGTTTGAAATCTTATGACACTGCATACAAAGATCCATTCTGAAGTGTGAAGATTCTTCTATGAGAGGAACTTTCAATCAAATATAATCATTTTTGAAGGAGGTAGTTCAACAATATGACAATGAATCAGTTATTCATGTGTGGAGACCTAAGAGAGATCTCCTATGAATAGAGGGATTACACCATCTACTACCAAAACTAATATCCAAGGTTCATATGAAGCAGATGAGAGTGTAGAACTCGAGGCCGAGTTCTTTGGAGAAGGGGTGAATGATGTAGCACCTGCTCAGCACAACTAGATAGCACCAAGTGAATGCCCAGTCAACATTGGTTGCATAGGAGCTAGGATTGCATTGGGATGTTGTTGTATGAGAATTTATTATATAGAAATTTTTTTTCATAAGAACTAAGTATGCATGGCATTGGACTAGTTGTTGCATAGATAACGTGTTTAGTTTTACACACTGAATATTTTTAGTCAATGTTTTGAGGGTCTCAAGGTGGATTTTGGTTTAATATAGAGACTAGGTGATGGGTCTTTAGAAGAATTTAGAATTAGATTTGGAGTTTATAAGAATATTGTACGGTGGATGAAAACAATGGTCATGAAATCTAAATGAAAATTTTTATTTGTTGTAAGCAGTTTTCCATTAGCCGACTTCAAATAATTTGGATAAAGCTATGATAATGATGATGAAGCAGTTCTTTGCTGCACTTGTAGTTGAGTTAGTCCTCCTAGGGTTAAGTGATCCCTCCAATTTGGCTGCACTTGTAGTTGAGTTAGTCCTCCTAGGGTTAAGTGATCCCTCCAATTTGGCTTTAATCAACTCTGCTAGAAGGGTCCGGTGATTTCTAGTAACTCCTTGCAAGCCCAAGCTGGATTTAGAGAGATCCGATTAGAGAAAAACTGCCTTTTTGATCTTGAACCACAACTATTCCAAATACTTACTATGTTGGCCCAAACTCTATGAATCTTTTGATTTTCAGAGGTAAATAGAGTTACAATAATATGTAAATTGGGTTTTGAACTCAACTAGAAGAATAAAAAAACATGTAGCATGCAACTCTATTAAAACAGTCACAAAAACTTAATGTAAATTTCATTAGGACTCAAAACAAGGATGCACAGAGATCATTAGCTGTATCCACCAAAGAATCAAAAACCAAAATCGATTGCAACTATTATAAACCTTATACAAGCAATCCCAATGTAATTTTCAGCAAGAATGTACTCATCAAAACCCAATATAAATAGTCCAACCAACTATAAATAATACCCTATAATTTACTCATTGCTCATACAACCTTTTTCAAACTTTAAGTATTATATCAGATGCAAAGTATGAACAACAACTTGGAACAAATTCACCAAATTCGTAGGGATCCACGGGCCCAGTTTGTAGCTTTTCTAGAGAGAGAAACTTGTTGAGAATGAGTTTTTATGAATATATTGCATAAGAGAGAAGACAAACTTGCTGCAAAACAAGTAGTTAGCAAATAAATTACAAAGAGAAACTATTGTGAGAGGCAACACAGTGCTGTAATTTATTCTGTGACACTGGAGGGTTCTCAGATAGATGAGAGACATCTCTCTAGAACCCAGTTCACAAGGAAGCTTAAGAGAGAAAAAGAGGTTCTAGAGAAAGAAAAGGAGCTTGTGCAAGGTGCTCTGGTATCCTCAAAACCTTTTCCCATATATATCCACTTAAAGAAATATGAGAGAGACACTTGTAGAGAGAAAATGGTCAAGTGTTGCTTCTCAATAGCCACTTGTCCCTCTATCTGGCTCTTTTCTTTTCTCTTCTAAAAAAATTAGTTCTTCTTAAAATAGATTTTAAGTGAGGTAGAAAAAGAAAAGAAAGGAAATAAAAATTGGGCTTTTATTTTTTTGCAAATATTTTAGAAACACATTTTCTTTAACATTCCCCTACTTGTTTCAAAATATATGCAAAACCATCATATAAAACTTTTAGTATATATATATATATATATAAGTTACTTGAGCTGTACATCCTCAAACAACAAATCCATCCAGTCAATAGCATCAAGCACATACATTCCTATGCTTATCAATTGCTGCGACTTATTGTATGATCATCAAACATATCATGAACTTCATCTACATGCTTCTAGATTAGTGGACTTTCTCTCTCTCTCTCTCGCTAGTGTTATTCGAAATGCATCGAACACTTACATTGTGAAACGCATATCACCAACAAAAACTTAATTGTAGAGATAGTTGAAGATCTTGTATTTATTTTATATATATCATATATAAAAAATTATTTACTGTAATTTATCTTGATGTGCAAGTTAACTCGGGTTGTATTATATATACATATTAATAATGGTCAATAAATAGAGATTGTTCTCTGCCTTTTTGTGTGTTTAACCTGGTATCAGAGCAATGTTACAAACAGGAGTATGACATAGACTATGATGAAATATTTGCTCATGTTGCTAAAATGACCACTGTAGTACCATAATTTCCTTCTCAACTATTCACCAGTGGATTGTATCTCAAATGGATGTGAAAAATGTATTTTTCATGTACATTTGAAAGAGAGTATATATGCGACTTCCTCGTAAGTATTGTCATGACAAATTTATGGTAAGTCTCTTGAGAAAATCCTTGTATGACTTTAAACAAGCTCCAAGAGCTTGGTTTGAATGCTTTCAACAGGTCGTTCTGAATGTTGGGTTGAAACAAAGTGCTCATGGCTATTCGTTATTTACTCACCATCGTTCTTCAGGGATAACAATCATTCTTTTATATGTTGATGATATTCTCATCACATGAGATAACCTTGATAATATATGAAACTAGAAAGAGCTTCTCAGTCATTTATTTAAAATGAAAGATTTGGGTCCGTTGACTTACTTTCTTAGCCTAGAGATTCATTATTTCCATAATGAACATATATTTAACCAAAAGAAATACATCAAAGGCTTGATCAAACTGATCAACTTATTTGATTATAAACAAGTGGACACACAAGTGGAGGTGAATGTAAAATATAGAAAGGATGATAGAGACAAACTTCCAGATCTCACTCTTTATAGACAACTGGTTGACAGTCTACTTTATCTTACTATGACTCGTCTTAATATATCTCATGTAGTACAGGTCGTCAGCCATTTGGTTGCAGATATTCATTGCATCCATCGGTTGTCCATCATATAATTCCTTATCTGCGGGGTATATACCATAAAGGCTATTCTTCTCCTCTAACCTTTATGTTAAGTTATGAGCCTATGCTGATGCGGATTCGGCAGGCTGCCTAGATACTGGACGCTCAACCATTAGGTGGTGTATATTTCTTGTATATTCTCTCATATCATGAAAATGTAAAAAACAACAAACTGTGTCAAAATCTTATTTAGAAGCCGAATACCGAGCAATGTCCTCAGCTTGAGGTGAAATTACTTGGTTGAGTGGTCTTTTACATAACCTCAATATTTTTTATCGAACTTCTACACCATTGTATGATAATAATATGAGCATCATACGCATTGCATCAAATCCAATGTTCTATGATCGCACAAAGCATCTAGAAGTTGATTGTCATTTCATTCGTGAAAAAGTTTTGGTTGGAGAAGTTACACTCCTATATATTACCTCACAACAATAACTTGCATATATTTTTACCAAGGCAATGACTCGTGCTCGTCATGACTATCTCATTGACAAACTGATGTTGTTCAATCAACCTCAGTTTGAGGATGAGTGTAGAGATAGTTGAAGATATTGTATTTATTTTATATATATAGTGTATAGAAAGTTACTTACTGTAATTTATCTTGCTGTTTATTATATATACATGTTGATAATGGTAAATAGATAGAGATTTTTCCTCTGCTTTTTTGTGTGTTTAACATTAATACCTTAAATCATGCCATGATCCCATAAGGATCTTCAAATTATCTAAACTAGCCATCTCAAAGTGGAAAACGATGTCTGTAATACATGCTAATTGGAGGTCATGCTCAGTAAGTTATGCCAAATACAACTGTCCAGTTTAGCCATCACAATGATGATCACATAGTCAAAAGACTGCTATTCGGAGGTCATGTTCAACTGTTTGAATATCTAAGCTAGCCATCACAGTGAAGAACACAAAGTAAAAACACTTCTAGTTGGAGGTCATACTCAATGAGCCATGCCAAGAATAACTATCCAGTCTAGCCTTGTAATGTGAATAATGGAGTCAAAAGACTACTGGCTAGTGGTGGTTCGTGATACTTACTCCTCCATGGGATTTTGCCAATATATGATTGTGCAAAGGCATAACCTAACTACCCTCGGAGGGTGCTCACATATGTCACATCACTAAAGACAAATATGCCACACAAACAAAGGGTAATCACATAACATTTTACATGGTCAATAGCTGAACCACTAACACTCGTCACATACACATCACAAGAAACCTGTGGATCTCAATCCCATACCCAGTACACACCTTTCATGTGTGTTCAATGGGTCAACTATCATGAAATCCATGTGGAGATATATTACTTCTATACCCTTTCATTTCACATACTCTCTCACGAAATGATACATTCTATCAAAGTGTTTTGCTACATTGTGGTACATAGAATATTTAGTAATAGCTATGGTAACTTGGTTGTCATAATAAATAACAGTTGGAGTGCTCTCAAACTTAGCCAATGGTATTTCAACGAGCAATTTTCTTAAATAAATTGCTCATTGGCCGCTTCATATAAGGCTACATACTATGCCTCCATAGTTGAATGTGACATACTCTTTTGTATATGGCTGCCCCATAATATACATGCTTCATTATAAGTAAAAAGCCATCCAGATGTAGATCTAAACTAATCATCTCTATCAACCCAGT